CTTCTGAAGTGCCGAACATGCGACCGAACCACACCAGTGTACATGAAATCGATGACATTCTGCAAGTCGGTGGTAGAAATTCCGTCGTTCGTGCCGTTAATATCTAGGTAAACGAAAGGCGCCGCTTCGTCGGCCTCTAGCGCCGTTTCAAAATACTCACTGTAGGCCGCCAGCACCAGCCTATGACAGGACACGAGACAAACGTTCTAAACACCATCAAACGGACAAACGATTAGTCAAGTGACAAACCCTCACGCAGTTCGTCTCAAAACTCTTACCTCGTGTCGCACGGTCACATCCGTGAATTTTCGATCACAACAGAAGCGTCGAAGTGCTGCTGAAATCGTCGTTGCATGATCGCTATCCACTATGCTTTCCTTTGGGTCACACGTTTCGATCAACTTCATCAGCCGAAGGATGCCCAGTGCCCGAGCTGACTCGAACAGTGTTGGACTTGGCAACGTTTGGCCACCGTACATAAAGTCGATAATTTTGATCAGATCACTTTGACTAACTCCTAAAGTGTACGGTTACGATCTTCGGGTGTCGAAACGATACAAAATACAAATGGGGAAAAAACAGCAGCACAGATAAGAAAACAACACAAAAAAAACAAATTTATGGTTCTGCAAATGCCGCAAAATGTTAACAGACTAAAATCTTACCTGACAAATATGAATCGATGTCCAGCGTAATTCTGGGACTTTCTTTAGTTTCAGAAAACAACGATTCCAAATGAGTGCTAAACGCCGCAAGAACGGCCTTGTGGCAACAGCAGACCACCTTTCCGTCCGACTGAAGAGTAACATCGGCAAATTTCCGATGTTGCAAATAGGTAGTCAAACTTTCTTCGTGATTGAAAGCTGTTAGCGTCTGTTCCTCCATCAACTTATCAACGATAGCCTACGCAGCTGACAGTAGCAGAAAGCACACAATCGTAACTTTGTGACTTGCAATCATTTCATCAAAAGCCAAAAATAACATCAGTTTTCATCTTTCCGATTTTTCAATGTTCTTCTTATCCCATTCTCCACATTTTCTTACGCATACTACAAACGCCACGATTGTCAAAAATTTAGTATACAGTAACAACTAACCGAACGATGTTGAATCAGCAGCTGTTGCATCAATTTCATTTGATCTGCATGTATAGCGGATACGTACCAAGTTCCTCTACATCAAAAACAACCGGATAACCTGGCGAGTATAAATAGAGTGAATCGTTTCCAGCGCATGTTAACTCATTGGACACTATAAAGACACCAGCAAAATCAAACTTTCAAACGACAAATATATTATTTACAATGCTGAAAAACAGAATGCTGTTTACCAATAAACTATATAACACCGTTTCTATTTCGGTGGCTACCATAATAGAGTGTAACCAGGCAGTTAGCTTCGAGGACAGTTTATCCTTTCTAATCTACCGTCAGGCTTATTCGACAATGTCTCCAAGGTTCACGGATGTGTTCTAGAGTTAAACGTTCCTCAGAAGATAGTCCGAGTCTGTCCTGAGCAGAGTCCTTCGAGACACTTGACCAAGACTATTCTTGGCTGTGCCGAGATCTATGGTTGAACAAGTTGTAGCTGTTTTGTTTTTCTGTATTGGGAAGTCGTAAGACTTGCTCAAACCACCGAAGCAGTGACCTAAGAAGTAGTGGCTGCCCACGAAAGTTATCTCGCATATCGGAATTCCAGACCATTTCGTGACGCGTAGACCCAACAATATATTCTATAAAGTTGAATTCAGTCTCTTGCTAGAGAAATTAAAGTTTTTTGACCATGGTTTACGATTTGAACCATAGAAAAAGCATGGGAATGAAGATTGACGTGAACCACAGTGATACTATTGTTCAGACGCAACTCTGTTTTGTCAGACCGGTTGAGGTTTGTTCACGGTAAATGCCACCTGCCATTCCAGTTCGCCAGACGAATCTTCCTCCAACTTTCCATCACCGGCAAACACTACTCTAACGCATGTTAACTGCAATACCTGAGCCATTGCTTCGCCAATTATCTGCAGAGGGCACCAGGCAGAAACGAGAAATTTGGTTTTGGATTTGGACCTAGCATTTGATTTTAGGTTGGTCTACACCCATGCCGGACACATCGCACTAGGCTGCGAACCTTTCCAGAAAACGCTGGAGATCGGTTTCAGAAGGAACCAACAAAACAAGGTCGTCTGCTAGCAGCAACTTTCTCGTTTCGACATCTCCTACGCTGACACACTTATGGCCATGTCTGCGCTTGACTATTCTATCCATGTGCAATGCAAACAAAAGAGGGGACAGAACGCAACTTTGGCGGAGACCAGTGCCAACGCAGAATGGCCTCGACTTAATGCCGTTTGCTCTTTGCAACTTCTGCCATCAGCAGACATTGGCTAGATGATTCATTTCAACTTTATATCGATCCCATGCAATTTGCAACAAGCCCACAGCTTGTTCTACAGAATTAGGTCATAGACTTTCTCCAGGTCAACGATGTCCATGTAAACCGGATAAACGAACTCCCGTGATTTCTCAACAGTCTGGCATAAGTGAAGACCTAATAGGATGTGCTTAAGCCATGTCTGAAGTCGCACTGACCTCTTAGATCTTAGAGTTAACCATTCCACTGCATATTCGTTTCAATACCTTTGCGCTGACTTTCCCTGGCAAACGGAGTAAAATAATGCTTCGATAATTGGTAGATCTACTATCAATTTACCTATTGAAGAAA